ATTACTTTGCCTAATCCTAAAATACACTCAAAGAAAAAGTCCAAAGTAAAGTTTCAAGGGCTTATCATTTTCTCCAATGCAAGCAAAAGGAAATACCGTAAATTTATGCAGACATGTACTCCTCTATACATTATGGCCTAGCCAATGTATCTCTCATGTAATACACACTCAGTATGACTGATTTGAAATAGACTTATTACTAAAGAAGCATGTACAGAATTGCAATCTAGAATAGCTTCATTTAAAACACAAATATATGTTTAACTTAATGTATACTGCAATTAAGAACAAAGACTGAATTCATCATTCATCCTCAAAGTCCAATGCTGATTTCAAAAGAGTAAATGGAAGAGGGAATGTAACATCTGATACGATTGTAAATAACTGAGAGTCAGTGTGGTGTAGTGGTTAAGAAAGCAGCGCTGGGTCTCAGGCAATCTGAGTGGTCCCCACTCTGCTATGGAGCTCACAGGGTGACTTTGGTCAGTCACAGACTCTGTCCAACCTACCTCGCATGGTTTTGTTGTGAGGATAAGATTGAGAGGAGCAAGAGGAGAATTAAGTAAACCTGCCTTGAGTTCCTTGAAAGGAAAAAAGGGCAGATATAAATATAAATAAGTATATAAATATAACAAATAAATAATATGGACAGGAAAATACAGAAAGAAGATCATTTATAGGGTCATAGGGTTGGGTGGTTTGTTTTCCTACTGACTTCTACTTCCAAGGCCTTATGCATGAATACAGGGTGCTGCATCTGCACCTATCAAGTCTGCACTTTTTATGAACTTGCACATACACAGATATACACTATACCAGGAACTAGCTGGTATGGAGGGAAAAGATCTAAAGATCAATCTTTCAGTTTGCCTCCCCAACTTTTCAGTTCTACTTGCTATTTCCTGTTGAAGTAACCCACCAAAAACAAAGCTGCGCTTCAGATGAATAGATGTCCAAATGTTGCATTCTAAGACAGTTTCCAACTACCACAAAATGTTTGTACAACCCCCAACAATACTAGAGCTAAGAGTTTTATTAAAACTAAAAGGAAAATTGAGTCCCAAAACACAACTTTGGATCTACCAGTAGAGGTGCCTTATAATGGACTGAGGATATACAAAGAAGTACACCAAAAGCATATAAACATTTAAATATCTTTATCACATCTTACTGTAATAGCATTAGCAGATACTGCTTTTTAGAAAGACAGTTCTTACAGCAGCTAATTTTAGGGACTAGCAACAAAAGATGTCACTATCATGCCTTATTTGACAGCAAGTACAACAAATGTACTCTCATTTTCTGTGGCTGTATAGATGACCACTGCAGAGTGCTGACTTCACTCATCCATTTCCCTGCAACTCTGATATTATTATCTGTGAAACTGTTAGCGTGGTAGGTTCCTACAATCTGTTTTTCATTTAAAATTTGATCAAAGGTTACATTATGTACTATTCTACCAACTAAAAAGCTGAAAATTCACAAGAATAGGACTGTTAAAAATACATCAAGGAAGACATTTTTCAACTGTTTTTTCAATGAGTGAAGAAAGCCTATGCTGTTTGCTTATCTGGCATCCAATTTGGGGCAATTACCCTCTTTTTCAACTGCCTCACCCCACATCGTTCAAAAAGATCCTCTACATGCAAGAAAGGCTTTCTGGGGTGTGCACATGGCTCCAAGGGATAAAAGGGGGCAGGAAACTCTTTGTCTCTAAACTTCCTTAAGTTAACTTATAATCTATGACAAATGCAGCATAGAGTAAAAGCACACACACAGCAAATGTGAATGCATTTTAAGTTAATTGATGTAGATAACATCAGTTTTTTTAGAATGCTGAATACTACTATTCAGTGCAGAAAAAAAGAAGTTCAACATATGTTTAAATGGCACTTCGAAAAGCTGTTCATTTTAAAGGTACTATAAAACATAGCAAAGAACATTTTCATTATGACAGCAGATGGATGAAGCTATGTCATCTTCCAGTATGTAATAATATTATGCCATTCCTCATCAAAGTCCTTCTAGAAACTCACTTAATTAGCAGACTTTTTTGACTCTAGCTCAGTCACTTGTGAAGTCAACTATCCAGCTATTACTTACAAGGCAGATCCGGGACTCACGCTCACCACTGAAGAAAGGGCATTCAACTTCTTGATCAGAAGCAGAAGAAAAATATAGTTGACAACAGATCATATGTGGGAAATGCTAAGAATAATACCTAGAAAATCTTCAAAGGTTTAAAAGAGCAATACTAACATTAGTAAATATACTAATTGCTCAACTATTTAAGGTAAATTAGCAAGACCCTAAGACAGCTGTAAAACAGAATCCCTGCTGGAATTCTTTCAGCCTTAAAATGCATACAAAAGCCAGCATTCTAAAGCATTTCCTGCTTACCTGTACTAAGCTATTGTTAACACAGTGAGTTGCAATCAGAAATATCACAATAAGAACAAGCGACAGACTACTGTTCAACATATTGTTCACATCAACAAGCATGCAAACTCCTTGTTGCATAACTAGATAAGTACATAATATTGGGTTCAAATTTAGGTATGTGCAACTGGGCTGGAAGAAGCAGGCTCCCCTAATTCCTGCTCCCCACAACCCCTGTAGCTCCCTGATCATGCTACACAGAGGGTCAAGGAATCCTGTCAAATATAATGGGCTATGCAACTTCCACGAATACTCTGTTGTTGTTGTTAAGTTGCGAAGTCGTGTCCAACCCATCGCAACCCCATGGACAACATTCCTCCAGGCCTTCCTATCCTCCACCATCCCCCGGAGTCCACTCAAGCTCACACCAACAGCTTCAGTGACTCCATCTAGCCACCTCATTCTCTGCCGTTCCCTTCTTCTTTTGCCATCTATTGTTCCCAGCATTAGGCTCTTCTCCAGGGAGTCCTTCCTTCTCATTAGGTGGCCAAAGTATTTGAGTTTCATCTTCAGTATCTGGACTTCTAAAGAGCAGTCAGGGTTGATGTCCTCTAGGACTGACCGGTTTGATTGCCTTGCTGTCCAAAGAACTCGCAGGAGTCTCCGCCAGCACCACAATTCAAAGCCCTCAATTCTCCAGCGCTCAGCCTTCCTTATGGTCCAGCTTTCCCAGCCATAAATTGCAACTGGGAAAACCATAGCCTTGACTATACGCACTTTTGTTGGCAGAGTGATGTCTCTGCTTTTTAGTATGCTGTCTAGATTTGCCATAGCTTTCCTCCCCAGGAGCAAGCGTCATGAACACTCTGCCTCCACCCAATTTTCAGGGATCCCCTTTTGTCCAGTCCATGGTCCACTCCCATTCAGTAGGCAGCATTTTCAGGGAGCTGGAGGAGCTGCCCCGGCGAATAAGGGCTAGAAAATCCACTCCAATTGCCCACACCAAAAATTGAATTCATCCATAGTCACATGAAGATTATCTGAGAACTAACCTGGTAAAACCCTCTAGCATCCCTCTTTGAAAGCATACAGAAATACATACTTCACAGATACAGCTGTGATATAGCAAAAACAAAGAGCTATGTGTTACCTTAAATTAGGAGTAGGTAAGCCAGCACCCTCCAAATATTTAAGATTATGACTCCATGGAAAACACTTAGGCATTATGGGAGTAGTTATCCAAAAAACTGCAGAGCATCCATTTTAATGAAAGAGTCCATCAATTGCATGTGAAGAAAAGTGCTCTTCTACAAAGCTTATTCCATAACAAATTTCCTATTCTTCAAGGCAACAGAGAACTGTAGTCTTTGCTACAACATCATAACACATCTACCTTTCTAGTTCCTACCATGTGATGTTGAAATAGGAAGCCAAAGATAGTGTCATCAAACCATGAAACAGAATACTACCCTAACAATGGCTTCTCCAGTCTATGCAGATATGAGATCCCCTTTATTGAATCAATGGATATACAGTAGCTATGGGAAAAAGAAGCAGAAAAGCCTGTGTTAGCTATTAATTTATAAATCTGATATATTCATATCCTGTCTTTCCTCCAAGGAGCCTAAAACAGTACACATCCTCCTCCTCCCTCCATTTTATCCTCACATCAACACAGTGAAGTAGTTAGGCTGGGAGTCAGCAACTAGCCAAAAGTCACCCATGTGAGCTTCATGGCCTAGCAGGAATTGAAACTGGGATCTTAGTCCATGAGTCTAACCACTACACCAATACTGGCTAGCCTCCAGCCAGTTCCATACACGCAATTCCAAGCACAAGATTATCACTGCATGCTTGCAGCAGGGGCTGTTTGTACCCTATACAGCTAATGATCCTGCACACAGATCCCTTCAAAACGCAGTCTGCAATCACAGAATAAAATCGGGAACCTTTCCGTGAGGAAGCTGTATCACTGCGAAATTCATTAATTTGTTAGCAATGCTAGCAACGATTTGTTGCTTTTTCTGTCCTTTTTTCAACCATTTATTCATTGAAGTTGACTAAAACAGTCTAGTAGAAGCTAAGAAAAAACCCCCAAAAGCTTGATTTTGTTGAGGAAGATCAGAGAACCACGTTCAAATGAAAGAATTAAATGATACGACTGAGGGTGCATTACAAGGAAAAGCAGAAGCCTTGAGACTGGCTAAGCAAAAAGCACCGACAAAGATCCACGGGGCAAAATGAGCACCCAACACTTTGCTTATGAAGCTGAGGCAACGAGTAAGCGGGCGAGGGGCACATACCAAAGTCACGAAGACTGAGTAAGAGGCCCACCGGTGTAGGAGGACTCGCAAGGAAAATGGGGGCGGCAGGCACTGGCTCGTTCGAAGCGTTCCCAGAAGATGAAGGGCGCGGTTCACTCGCTGCCCTCACCTCCCGAGCCAAGGAAGGACCGCGGCGCGCCACACGGAGGCCAGGTTCTCCCAGCGGCCGGGACAGCCCCGGTTCGTGCTTTCCAGAGGGGCGGTTCCCTGCCCTATAGATGGAGGGGCCCCTGCGCGGGTGGGGCGACGCGCTGGCACGTTTCCCTCGTGCAAGGCCGAAGCCTGCCTTCCACTCACCTGGTCACGGCGACATCCCAACTGCCGTCAGTCCGCCGTCGACCTTCCGGAAACACCGCCACCCGCCACAGAAAACTTCCCCGAGCATGTAAAGACACAGCCTCGGCGCCGCCGGCTCGGCTCCTCACAGCCACGAACGCTCCCGCCTACCAACTCTGGGAGCCTGAGACCGATAGGTCCCGTCACCAATCAAAACGCGACGAGGCGAATGATCGACATCAAGGTCCGTCAACGGCTGTGGAGAAACTTGGGGAGCTGATGGAATGAGGGCGGGGCTGTAAAAGGTGACTGGGGTAGAAAACAGCCAATTAGAGCATAGAAATTATGTCATCGACTGTAGGTAAGAGCTCCGACCGGTGATGATCAAGGAAGGAAGGAAGGAAACGGAGTAGCTCTTAAAGGGACAATACATCAACCCCTGCAGAGGATTGTAACTTCCTTACAGATGCTTGAAGTGCATAGATAGGTATCACTGGCGCTCATGGATTCAGTCTTCTGACTTTTAGAAAGAAGACAGGGAAAGCAACGTTGGAAACAATTTAGTTCAAAGACAGGCAGTGCCTTGCACTGGCTTGGAAAGAAGCCTCTACCGATTTTAGTGCAACTCTCTTGCAAGTAAACCTTGCAAGATGAGGGAGCTTGTAGACATCCTTTTTTATACTCGCCTGTAAATCAAACGGACAGGACACAGAATCTTTCAAAACGCGTGCTCAGTTTCTAGCATAACGAAAAGCAGTATCTCACAACCTGATGCCCTCCATCAGTTTCAATCATCCTGGCCAATGGTCAGGGATAATAGGCGTTTTTCAAAACAGCAGGAAAGCGCAGGGTTGGGCAGTAAAGTATGCAGCATGTATGGGGCTTAGTTGGAATAAAATGAAAGGATCTGAACAAACTTTCTTTGATTAGAATCATAGCAATTGCCTAACTAGAGCTAAATGAATACATTGGCTATTTACACAAGAACAACATATCCAGAAAAAGAGAAAGCTGTAATTCTTGTAGAGTGTAATTATATTTATGTTTAAACAGAATAAACACCCACCTCTGTCTAAATATGCATAGGACTGCACCTTTAGCTAGTCCATACTTTCCTACTTGTGGTTCACAAGTGATTGAAACTGCAGTTATACCTCTGCAGACTTTAATCCAAAAGCAGTTAAACAACAGCAAACTGAAAATATTTAAATTCCAGCATGATTGTAGCCCTACAAAAACAATGCAAATATAGCAAAGACCACAGATACAAAAATTATTCCCCAACTGCTTTTTAATCAGCTATACACACAAAAAAGAAGTATACAAGATGATAACCCATTATTTGTTTCCTCAACAGAACAATCTGGCTCTTCCAGCTCCTAAAAAGCTCCTATATCAACCAGTTTATTACACACACATAATGTGAAGTCGTTGCCAGTGCTTTCCTTCTAGAAGCTGATTGAGTTAGAATTGTCACCCCAGATCACTTTCTTGTCTCTTTCCCTATGAGCTAGGATAGGGAACTGTTTCTTTGGTTACTGGAGTTAGTGCACTGAACACTTCTGTTACAGGAAGTCATAGCATACTAGCTACATGCCAAAGGATTTCTCTCATATTTTCATTTATGGGTATCATAATTTACAAATTAGGGTTGCAATCCTAAAGCAATTTGAAAGAAGAAAGACCAGTTAATTTAATGGGGCATACCATTCAGTAAACATACATAGAATCACTTTGTATTTGTGTTTATATTTATATGAAAATGCACTCCAGAATAACATTCTTGGCACCATATTTCCAGGATTAGTGTTTTGTGCTTTTCTAGACACTAGAACTTTCAACCACTAGCATGAATTTGATCAGCTGCTTTGTAATCAGGATTTTATTAAGTAAGTTTGACAGTTCAAGTTTCAGCTCCTTCATTAGATTTTATCCTATGATGGTATAAATCTGTTCAAAGGCTTCATTACTAAATTCATCCTCTTACCACATGCCTTTCTGCCAGCAATCTTTCCATCATTTGAGAAAGCATGAACTATCAATGCTTGACAGTATAGCTGAAGTCAATCCATCTATTGAGGATTTTGAGATTTATTAAATATACAGGCAAATACCAAGTTATATATTTTTCCCACAAGGTGCTTGTGGACTCCTCCAAAACTATTGGTAGAATGTAGGTGGACACACATATATCTCATTCGCAATTTACTTCATGTACCATCACATCAAAGACTGTAAGATGGGAATAAATAAATCCTTTTAGCCAAAGAGGCAAAGTTAATTTCAGGTAAGTTTTCAGGGGCCACATTCCAGGGTGAATGGAACCGAAGTCTAAAGAGATGGGGACAAAACAAAAGAGGTGGAGATAAAAATGTCAGTTTATTGTTACTAAAGGTAGTTATTGCAGTAACAAAGCCTTAGAAGTATTTCAACCTTTAAGAAGTTGGAAAGATCTGCATAAAAGCTGGGAAACCATCAAACAATTAATGGTTGGATAAGAGGGGGCATAGTCAGAAAGGAGCATGGCCAGAAGGCTGGATTTGGCCTTGCACCTGAGGTTCTCACCCCTGCAATAAGGAATCTGGTAGTCTGAATGTTGATAAACCCACTATATATAATGTATTTGAAGTGCAATAGCTCTGAATACCTTCCATATCTGAACTTCCATAAGTGGTCTTTTTATTTTTATGAAGATTTTTAGGTTTATATAGAATATTTCTGTATCCCCCACTTCTGTACACTTAGTCACTAACACACTGAGAAGACATTGGATACCCTCTCATTTGGGTGGGACATTTCCTCACTTCACTATACTTAAATCCCCCTATTTGTGGAAACAGCAAAAGCTAATAATGTTGAAGGTAACTAATCAGTATTACATTAGTCATAGTATGAAGCCTATGATAAAGTTTGAATAGTCTAACTAAGACAACTCCCATCCTAAAGGATACTGGAGTCCATAGCATAGTGCATAGTATTTATTTTTCTGACATCCTCTGACCTCTAGTGGTCTTCTCATATGATAGCTTTTCCTGTGTGATATTATTTAACAGTAAAAGTCAAGTCACAGGGCCAACACCTTTATTATTAGAACATTATTATTAAAACTGGGATATCATTATTTAAAAGACATTGCTATAATTATAATTAATTGCTATAATTATAATTAATTTATAAGATCAATCTGAGGATCAAGCCCAGGAGCCTGGGACACATCTCAACATTAAGTTACAGACCTTCCCAACTGCTAGCATAGTTATTGTTTTTCTACTTTGTTGTAAACTGCCCAGAGAGTGTTGGCTACAGTCAGTAAGAAATAAAATGAATAAATAAATAATAGTTGCATTAAACTTTCATTATATTAAAAACACAAAGAATCTTGTGGCATCTTGAAAATTTATTTTTAGTGACAATGCAGCCAGTCTTCATGATATTGACCATAGTTAAAAAGGAAGTTTTTTAGCATTCCAACTCCAAAACCTGTTTTATATAACAAAACAAAAATGTAATATTCAGGGAACTCCATGGTTTTATGCTAACTGCGGTCAAACTAGTTACAGCAAAACCCTGGAAAGACTTAGATGATTCAACTATGGCCCAATAATAACAAATGCTGTCTTTATTTTATTTTGGTCATAGACCACTAAAATTAAGCAATAACTAATAAAATATTAATACAATAACATAGGTAAAAGCACAACACAACTAATTAAAATACTTAGGGTCTTAAAATGCAGTATAACTAATAAGTGAAGTAAAATACTCTAAGCATTAAATTAAATTAAATTATTAATTAAATTAAATTATTACAAGTCATTAATACTCACAAACCTCAATTTCCATACATTTATAGTAGCTGCACAAAAGCTTGCCACTTTTATAGTGACTTCTGGGTCATAATCAGACAGTAAATATGCTAGATGTTGTTCATTTGCTCTCCCTGGGAACTGTTGTATAATAGGGGTTAAAAGTCTTAATAAAAAGTGCAGTATAGCAAAACACGCCTTGTAATTTCCATTCCTCCCTTCCCACAGGGGCACACCCTGTCATGGTACAGCTTCTTTCTGAATATTCTGTCCAGTGAGGCTGAGGGTAATACATTAAATCTTGTCTATGTAAAAGCTTTCCTAAATTTGGGATACAAGATTTGAACAAGCATTTTGCCGGTAAACCCCATCTCCTTTTATCTCTATATGCAGAGTGTCTTAAGGCTGTACTTACATGGTTTTATAGCTCCACATTCTGAATACATTGTTTAAGCATCATTTTAGCTTTTTAATTCCCTAATGCTACTAAGCTGTCGATTGTCAATCCAAGTTTGTGCATTTCTGATAAAGCTGAATTTTCCATTTTGTGTGGCATGTATCAATTAGTATAAGGCAGGCCAAGCCCACTGAAGAAAAGATCACCTTTAGCCAGTAGAGGATCTTAAGGATCCATGCTTGGGGCTCCACAGAGAGTTGCCTGATGTCCACGTATGCACACACTTTAGGAACATAGCCTGGGATTCCCAGCACTGTACAAAGGAACATAGTGCAACTGTTATATGCACAAAGTTGCGATGCATACAGCATCTGGGAGATAACTTTAGCCTGAAATATTTTTTATTATTATTTTATTTTATTTTTCGATTTATATCCTGCCTTTTTCCTACAAACGGCTCAAGGCAGCTTACATCATTCTCCTCCTCCATCTTATCCCCACAACAACCCTGTTAGGTAGGTTGGGCTGGGAGTCTGTGACTGGCCCAAAGTCACCCATTTAACTTCATGGCTGAGGAGGGATTAGAACCCAGATCGTCTGACTTCCAGTCCCATGCTCTTAACCACTACACCACACTGACTCTAAATGAATGGTTGAGGGAAGATATTGGACTCCTTTCACAAAAATGCAAGAGAGCCTAAATGCTCCTTTTTGTATTTTCAGTAGGATATTTAATTTGTGGACACCATGAGCCAAAAGAATACAAAATTATGGCCAAGTATCTAAAGGATGTAACCAATTAAACGAGGAAGTTATTGATCTTCCACTTATAATGCTTCTTCCTGAAGATTATAACCTCAGACTTAGCATAGTAAATTGTCAGTAATTCATTTGTACAGCAGTGAGTAGTAAGTCCAGTAGTTAGTAGTAAGTCTAGTCTTAAGCTTGTCAGGGAAAGCAACAATGCA